CACCTAAGAATCCACGTGTTGCCTCTATATTTTTCTTGATTATTTTTGGCTCCACAAATGCCCCCACACCTGTTGGACTGCTCGTAGGAAAGGGCAGCAGGTGTAGAGATCTTCTTGCTTTAGGAAACATAGGATTGTTTCCTATTTTGATGTAGATTCCCTATTTAATTGGAAATTAGATCCTTCTAGGAAAGGGAAATAAATTACTTCTAAAGTTTATTTAAGTCTACCTTAAGTAGATTATTAAATTAACTTTAGAGAGCAATTTATTCTACCCTACAAGAGAGAATGTTAGAGGATATTTGTTCCCCTCCCTTAACAATCTTCTACACTTGCCCGTGCAAAGGACCCTCTTTCGTTGCTTTCTTCATCTTCACACCATGCCAAGGTTTTTCCTTGTCTACGTAACTTTTGGGAGCCTCGGGGCTTGAAATTTGGCTCAATAGGGGTCAAGAAAATGTGAAAAAGTGGCTATCGTGGGGTAGCTTTGTGGTCTTGGCGTGATGGTGGCTTGGCTATGGCCGAGGGCTGGCGGCTCCGGCCTTGGGCTCGGCGTGTGGTTGGCATGGTCTTGGGTGCCCTGGTCTGGGCCTGGGTTGGACTGGGCCGTCTGGCATGTTAGGCCAAAGGAGAAAGATGAGAGCCAATGGGCTAGGCTCCCTTGGCTGCTGTCTTTGGGCCATGAGGCCTGAGGCCTTTCCTTCTTTTTTTTATTTATTTGAATGATAGGCTCGGGCCAATGCTGGAATAGGAAGAAGAGAGAGAGGGGCCGAGAGTTTGGCCTGCTTGAAGCTTGGGCTGAGAGTTGTTTCCTTTTTTTTTTTTTTTTTTTTGTGGCTGGGCTCGGACCCATGCCTGAGGGAAAAGAGAAAGGCTGAGAGCCTTGTTGGGTCATGGGGCCTGCTGTGTCGTGTTTTCCCTTATTTTTATTTTTATTTTTTTATGCGTGTAGTCGTCTAATGAATTTTCTTTGCGTCTTTGTAGAATTTCTTTGAGCATGTCTTCTTCGAGCCACAAGAGTGATGATGGTGTTCCACTGTTGTATCCTCAAGGCGGGTCTTTGAGCAAAGTGGGCTACTTTAAGGGTTACTTACTTCAAGATTAGCTCCAATGACTCGTTTTGAGACTTCCTTGAGGCATATAGGCATGCCATTCCGTCAAGGGTGCGTGTGAAACGCGTCAAAGAGAGTAGCAGCCTTGAGCCTTGTAGTGGGATTCGGAAAGCCATCAAATTTCATCCCTACTACTTTGTGTTGGGATTCTCTTTCCCCATGCCTCAATTCTTCCAAGAAGTGCTTTGCTCTATGAAATGTGCCCTTGCTTAATGTTCTCTGAATGCGGCCTGTGTTATAGTGGTGTTTTTAAATCTAAGCCAATTTTTTTACTTAGACTTGACCGTCAACGAATTCTGGTACTTCTTTGACATAGGCCACATAAAGGGAGTTTGGTAGCTGCGATCTTGCCATAGGCTCTTTGATCATTCGAGCAAGGGAGATCATGACTAGGCCAAAGAGACTTTGGAGATAAGTGGAGAATGGGAGTCTGATTCTTCCCTCGAGTTGGGTGCTCCAACGATTTTCATCTTCGGTACGTAGGTTGCTCGATCTTCCAACTGCTTTGCATTTGTGCTAAGCTGCTCTCTAATTTTCTGATTGTTTCCCACTGCTCTTATAGATTTGGATTTTTACTCGACTCCTAAGACTTCTTCAGTTATGAAGAATGTGCATATTGATGTAGGTATTCATCCCGAGTACTATGAGTGGTGTTTGCTGCTTAGCCTTCTTCCTCGGGAGAAAGGTGGGTTGCCCTCGAGAAAGGAGATAAGGTGAATCAAGGATGAGGCGTTGGCTCGTCCGATCATTGTAGTTGAGCTTGTAGCGTATGGAGGTGGAAATAAGAGATTTTCTCCGCCTACTTAGGAGATGTTAGCTGAGAAAAAGCCAAAAACTTATTTCGCTGTTTGCGAAGGTTCCCTGGCTGCCCCCAAGCTAGTGATCAACTTGACTTTCTCCAAAGGCGAGAAAGAGAAGGCTGCTAAATCTGTGCCACTGACGCCTACCATTTCGAAGGTGGCTAGTTCGATTGCTAACAAGATTGCTTAGCGTAGGAGTTCCATCATGCGCCCATTACTAAAATTTGTGCCCAAACGTCCGTCGGGGGCTAAGTCTGGTTCACCTTCGGAGATACTTGCTACTATGAAGAGTGATAAGGTGGACTTTGCTGCCAAAGTGGCGCCAAAATCCTCTCCCCTCGCTGCCGAGACTGATTCGCCTGCTGAGAAGAATGAGACTGCTCGTGCAGGCAGTTGTGAGAAATCTACCAAGTTTGTTTCTAGGGAAGCTGCTGAGATTTATGCACTCTTGAGGCTAGATCTACTCGAGGACATGGATGTATATGCCAAGTTTGTTGATGGTGTCAAAGGGATTGTTGGAACAAGTTCCTTTGTGAAGCATATGACCGAGTATATGAGGACTACTTTGCTAGTTATGATGCAGAAAATAGCAATTCTTGTAGCCAAGTTAATGCTCATTGATCAAGAGGACACCAAGGCTGCCAAGGAGGTGGTAAGGATCGTGGTAGCCGAAGCTTATTCCTCGGCCCAGAGAGTTAAGAAGTTGGAATATGAGGTTGCCGTTTTGAAAGGGTCTAATATCTCTACCCCTACTTCTCTGCAGCTTGAGACCGTTTGCCAAGAGATCATGGATTTGAAGACTAAGCTTGACGCGATTCAGGTGTTACATACCTCAGATTCAGGTGTTAAATACCTCAGATTCAGGGCCTTGAGCGTGCCATCTTTTAGTTTCGCTCTGCTTCTTATGCAAAGGATGAAGAACTGATTGCTACTTACAACCAAGTGATCCACTTTAATAAGGTCGTCGATAGGTTTGAACCTCAAGTGATGGAACTTCAAGGTGCTTTGGAGATTAACGACAGTCTGAAAAAGGAAGTGGAGGAGCTACAGCGGTTCCGCGCTGGTTTGCTCGAGGAGAATGAACAGTTGAAAGGTGACAAGGCTAGGTTCGAGGCTTCACTTACTTAGAGTCAAGCCGATTTCTACAAGCTGGGTTATGTACACCATTTCTTTAGGAGGCCATCTGACTTTGAGTTTGCTGGTAAAGACTTCGAGACCTTCTTCATTTCTCTGGAAGACTTGCTCGCCTTTACTTTTGAGGCTTCCATTGGTGAAGTAGTCAGAGAAGCTGATGCCGAGGTAGGAGTAGCTAGGGGTAAAGTACAGGATGGTGCCACTGCTGAGGATGTCGAGGTTGATGAAGGTGTGGCAACCGAGTAGTCGTGGAGTCCTCAAGCTGCTGAAGAGTAGTCTTCTAGATAGTCTTTAGGATTTTCTTTGTTTTTCTTGTTAATTTTTGCTTTGCTTGAACTCCTTCAGTCTTTGCTAGTAGTTTACCAATTTTGCTAGAAAATTTAATAAACTTGTTTTCTTTGTTTTTCTCCATCTTCGCTTTTTTTGTTCATGCCTTCACCTTTAGACTTTATAAACTAGTGGCAGGTGTGCTACTTTTCTATAAGCAGATAGGCCTACGTAGCCTATGTAGTCGTAGGTGTTGGTGTAAAACTTTGCAAACTTGTTAGCCATAAGGTCGGCAGCCGGACGCCTTACTTACAGAAGCAGACTAGTCCGTGTGACTACTAGGCTGTTAACTTTGGCTTTCTCCAATTTCGTACGTTGTGTAGCAAGTATCACAACACTTTAGGACTTAGTGTAAGTCATTCTGCGCTTTGGTAAAAATGAAGCCCATCGACTGCGTAGCATGTCGACAGTGGACGAAGCTTCGTATATGCGCACTAACTTGTTTAACCTTTCACGAAAATGTGCAATTGTATAAGTTTAACATGGCTTACTACTTGAAGGGCAAGCCGTAGGCAGTCTTCTGGAAACCGTAGGTTACCTTAGTGCACTCGGTAGCAACTTTAGGGTTCCAAGGCAGTCGTCCATAAGGCGTACTGTGTAATGTGCCCCCTCCGCCTCTAGGGCCCAGTTCCCCGCGGATTAGGCCAAGAGATCCAAGATCATTCAGTTAGCTAAGCCTTCAAAAAGACCATAGTGGCTACTTCTAGGAATCCTAATGCAAGCTATTATGCATGTAGTTATACTAGGGCAGCCCGGCTCATCCACCTCTAGATAATCGGTGTGTAGAGTTTATCCTCATACTTTGGAGAGCAGATCTATGTGGGTGTCGAGGAATTGGTTTACCCTCTTGCACTTAAGAGCATGGTTGGTCCCTCGGGGGGTGCAATTCTTGCGATGAGTCCCTAAGAAGGGCGTGGTCTTCTTTCGAAGTGCATGAGTGATCAGTTATTATAAACATGTAGTCAAGCCAAGTTGTAAATTACTTATGAATTTATCATTGAAAAACGAGTGAAACGAATGAAAACTTAGCTGTAAAGTAGAGACTGCATAACAATTGGATAGTTCTCAGCACCTAAAGTGGTGCCCGTTGAGCTGCTTGAGTATTCGGGCTTTGATGCAACAGGAGGTCACATGTGGTACTTCCTCAGATTGTAGGCGTTCCACTGCTTTTCGAACTCTTTTTCGTTCATGGTGGTGATAGTTTAACTACCCTTGTAGCCAGTGGCGAAGCCACGTGAGGGCGAGGAGTGGCGGCTGCCACTCCCCTCACCGGGAAACACCACTGGAGAGCTGGGTTCGCCACTCCCCTAGCCGGAAAACCCACTGGTTCATCTCATCTGTTTGCTAGGCGATCTGTTCTGCTGCGCGCAGCAGCAGCAGATTGCTATTTTTTTTTAAATCCAGGCCGTGGGAAGGACGGAAACCTCTCGGAGGCTCTGACCTTTTTCAAGTACACTCTCACGATGCAGTTTCCAGCTCACAGCAAGGGAATGACGCCATGGGAGCCTCTTTACAGGCCTGCGGGTGCCAGAATGACGTCGAAACCGGACGCAAAGTCCACAACTTGGTCTCTGCGTTGACCGTCTTCAGCAGTGATTTTGTTCTCACACACGCATCATTACCATGAATGCAATGTGCGATTCTCCTTTGGATTCCCGCTCAGTTTTCGACGGGCTGAAGAGGAAGAACTTGTTCCAGTGGAATGCGCTTGTTAGTGGGTATGCAAGAAATGAGCTTTTTGTTGATGCCATTGATGTGTTTGTGGATTTGATCAATAGATGGGACTGATTTCGGATGTGTTTGTAGGCAATGCGTTGATTGCAATGTATGGGAAATGCGGGTCAGTTGAGGATGCAGCTAAAGTGTTCGAGATAATGCCTGACAAGAATTGTAATTTGTTTGAATTGTAATTTGCTTTTATTGATAATAAACCTATTATGCAACGTTTTTATAACATGAAATATCGTCGGCAATAATTGTAATTTGTTTGTATTGATTAATTATGGAAGATATTACTATATTAAAAAATTTAATTGTTGCCATTTTTCTTTAACTTTGTATTCTTTTAAGTTCGCCCCTCCTCCCAAAAAATTCTGGCTTCGCCACTGCTTGTAGCCTACTTTGTTAATCTTGTACGGACTTTCCCAGATGGGATCCATCTTTTTGGAGCCTTTTTTGCGGGCAGTGATGAAGGCTTTCCTTAGGACTAGATCTCCAGGCTGGAACTGCCGGATTTTGCCCATTTTGTTGTAGTTGGAGAGGAGTTGCTGCTGGTAGGCTACGATGCGGGTGATCGTCTACTCATACTTCTCCTCTGCCAGATCTAAGCTTGTGGCCATCTCCTTACTGTTCTGCTCAATGCTTGGCAGTAGAGTATTGATACTTGGCACGATGACATTGGGATGAATGATTGCTTCCGAACCAAATGCCAAAGAGAAAGGGGTCTCACCGGTGGTTCGCCATTTGGTGGTGCGATATGGCCATAGACATCTGGGGAGCTCGTCTGGCCATTTTCCCTTATTTTCAAAGAGGGACTTCTTGAGGCAGTTGAGGGTCGTCTTGTTGAATGCTTCGGCCTACCCATTGCCTTGAGGGTATCTCAGTGTGGACATGCTGCTTGATGCCATACTTTTGGAAGAACTTCACTAAATCTTTACCCACGAATTGCGAGCCGTTGTTGGTGATGATGGATTGATGGATGCCAAATCGACAAATAATGTTCCTCCATATGAAGCGCTTTATGTATGCCTGAGTCGTGGTCGTCATAGGCTCTACTTCTACCCATTTTGTGAAGTAATCGGTTGCCATGATAATTATGCCCCTACCCCCAGTAGCGGGCGGCATTGGCCTTACCAAGTCAATTACCCACTGCATGAACGGCTAATGACTCATCTGCGGGTGTAGCTTGTTGGCAGACAGTTATGGTACCAGCTTGTAGCGTTAGCAGCGATCGCACTTTTGTACTAACTCCTTAGCGTCTTAATGCATGGTAAACCAGTAGTAGCCTGCGTCAAGAGCCTTTTGCACTAAGGATCGGCCTCTGGAGTGATTTCCACAAACATATTTGTGGATTAAGCTTAGAACCTTTAGGTCGTCGGGAGACACTAGGCAGCAAAGATATGATCCAATGTAGGATTTTCGGAATAGAATGTCGTTCCACATATAGTAGTGTGTTGCCATTATTTGGAGCTTTCTAGACTTCAACTTTTCTATGGGGAGTGTGCCATTGACCAAGTAGTCTATAATAAAACTTTGCCAGTTTGGAGTTGTACTAACCTGTGACACTTCAGATGTTGGCTCTGCCCTATGCTTGGCTTATCTAAATACTCCACCGGGACAGAGCGTTTGAGTTGGTGGTCGAGGGCGAAGCCTAGGCCTGCTAGCGCGTCTGCATGAGCATTGTCTGCGTACCTTTTCTAGGTATTGCTCCATCCTTGGATGTTTTGCCGTGTACTTGCCAATAGTTTGGTTGGTGATTAGCTGGGAATCAGAATGATTTGCGAGCTTTTTCACCGCTAAATCTTTTGCAATTCGGAGGCCTGTTAGTAGGGCATCGTACTCCACTTCGTTGTTCGATGCTTTAAAGCCTAAAGTGATCGCCTGCTCGAGCATCGAATCATCTAAGGTGACAAGGAACACACCTACCCTCGAGCCTTTGTAGTCGGATGCACCATCGACTTGCAAATGCTAGAAGTCTCCATTAGGTGGAGCAGGCTTGGCTAAGGTGTGTTTGGCTGCTTCCGGGGTGTCATTGGGCCTCTTTATTGCGTCGCTTAGGCTAGGCATGAACTCTACTACGAAGTCTACTAAGGCTTGGGCCTTTATTGCCGCACAGGGTTGGGAAACTAAGCCGTATTAGCCAAGTCCTACCGTCTATTTCATCACTCGT